ATTGATCGAGAATTGTAAATATATTGGTGCACTCTTCGCGGTTTGTTTTACAAATTTAGTGTATTAGTGTTGCGAAAGAGGAAAGATCCACTCGCGGTTTGTTCGGGTTTATATCGAGTGGATGAATTTCATAGTCCTTCTGGCTACTTTTTCCTTCTTTTCAGCATCTCCAGGTAAACGGAACATTTGTTATTAAAAATATTATTGAAAATATATATCAAAGTAATATAGCAAGAATTTATTATGATTCGCATAAATTATAATTAGAAAATTTTTAATTTTCAAAATTATAAAAAATTATGAATTACTTAACGACATTTTGATAATTTGTTCTTTTCAAGACGTAAGTGTTCCTTTTTTTTTTATATTATTGGTTCTTTTAATTACTAATCTGATAATTATAGTTTGTTACAGGTGTGAATTGAAGAGGATGAATAAAAGAAGAAGGATTTGATCTTCATTTGATGTAAACTAAAATTATCTGTCATTGATTCGTATTAATTTTGTTTCTCTATTTCGTTTCAGGATCTATTCAGCTTTCGACGAAAGTAAGGAAAAAATATCTTTATTAGATTTAGATTTTTATATAAGTAGAATCATAGTAGGCATTCGATCATTTGAAATCGTCTGAAATTCTGATTTCTAAATGTCAACGTTTTCTTCGTAATCTTCTTCGTATTGTTGTTAAATTCCTCGTGATTTATTCCCATTCCTCAACGATTCATTTATCGTTTCTAAATTCTCTCGTTCTTCTACTCTTTCTTTCATCAAATTCTTGGATACTCGACTGGCTACTTGACTGGCCATCAGTAGTCATTGTTGAGTATCTGAACATTCTCTTTTGCATTTTATTTATGTATCTTACATGTAATCTAAGAGATATAAATAAGAATTATAAAAATTATATGATTTTTAATGGGCATATTAAATTAAATTTACAATGAAGGAAGGAATGAAAGTGATTGGATGAGTTATTTTCAATTAAAATAAGATACGAGTGAATATTTCATGGAAAAAGATATAATTATTTGCATGCGTAATCAAGGGTATAAATTAGATAAATAAAATAGTGTAATTGGATAATTAATGGGTAATGCTTTGTGAGATGCTTATTTCGCTTATTTTTTTCCTTTTTTTTTTTTACGTCTTTTTAATTATTTTTCATTTTCATCCACATGAAAATGAAAAATAATTATTAAACAAAAATGCATATTTTAAATGCATTAATTTTAGATTTTATTTTCAGGTTTAGTCTTCCGCGTCGGTTTTCCTTACGATTCTTTCGTTGTTGAAAACGTATAAAAAAAATTTATGTGAAAATAATTTTTTCCGCAAAAGGAGAGAAGAATGGGTCTCGAATCTGCAACAACTTCCACGCGGTGAGACTTGGTAATATAATTTAAATTAAATATTATTTGATATAATTAATATATAATATATAATTAATAATTATATAGAAAATAATGTTAGGCTGATTGGCTGCAATCGCGATCATTATTTTTATAATAATCGTTAGTTTAATGATCTTTCTCAATTTTAATTATTCGACTTTATTTTTTTCAAAAGTTTTGTTTTATCATTAATGAAAAAAATCAATGGGATTTGTATTTCGGGTAAATAGTTAGATTATAATGTGTGTAGAGGGCGTAAGAAACATTTTCTTCTTTTCGAGATCGGTATTTCAGAACATGCGTCGGTTAAATCTCAAAATATGTCGCATCTAGTCTGTTCCCTGTCTTTATCTAAAGTATGAGTAATTCTAGAAATATAATTGCACGACATCTAGTGAAAATTTTATAAAGTTGCAAGGATAAGTGGTTTCCAGAAGTATCGACTAGATAGCGCTCGTGTACATGATTTTTCGTAGGCGCGCTTTCAAAATACGTAATCGAAGATTAAATATCTAATATCTAGGTAATCAATTCGTCATTTATTTTTAATCTTGAACATTTATACAATTCATTTAAAAATCTACAATTGAATAATTAATATATATATATATTCGTCGATAGTATAACAACACGCATAGTATTGCAATTTCTATTTTTTACTACTTAGGTACAATGATTGTATTCACATCCTTAAGTGATAGAATATTTTACAATAAAATTGTGCGTAGTACACCCTGTATAGAAATTGTAATTTCATTTCCGCGTTTACGACGGATTATATATGTTATGTATTTGGCCTTGGTGCGGATGCATCGGTAAATCTGAAATATTGCTTTCAAGTGTTAAATTAAGGCACTTATAAAAACCATGATGATAATAATAATTATAGCAAAGAATGTGCATCGTGCATTTCTGCAACGTAAGAAAATATTGACAATCAAATCATTGCGTGCAAGTCTTCATCAAGAATAAATTCCTTTTGTAAAACTCTTATCATTTTAATCAGTCGATTGATGAGGGCAAGTTTATCACCGGTAAAGAAAATATTCGTTCCAAATATATCTGGCCATATTATCCGGCCATCGCTCGTAATAATATTTAAAAATATTATATCGCTAAATCATAATTTCAGTCTTTTTTAATATACTACATCAACTTTTTACCGATCTGTTAAAAATATTTCAAAATCATCATTATCTAAAGAGATCAGAAGACAAAGGTACACGATGATTCACTAGAGCAGTGTTTCTCAATCTATAAGTTGCATTATGGTGTTATTAATTTTTTTTTTTTTAACTTTTAATCGTAAGGTGACCAAATATACACGTAATTTTATCTATTTCACATAATTCCAGTTACTGCTAGATTTTTGAAAATTTTACAAACATTACAAACATTTGAATCGTGAAAAAGAATCGAATGGCAAAAAGATCGAGAAACGCTGCATTTGAGCCTCAAGTTTTCGCGACAGATGTCGCGTTGGAGTTATTCTACAATTGCGCAGATCCTCTCCACGCGGAATCGAATCCGCATGCGGTATCCGAATCCGAGTCGTTGTTCTGTTGCGTTTTCGAAGCGGCAGAACCGACCGCTGTCGTGGAGGTTGGTCGGCGATGCATCTGTTGACTCGATCGAGAAACTTTCCCTTGAAGAAGCGGAGTGGTCGGTTGACTGGCAGCTTGGTGTTCCCGCGACGAGCTGAAATCCTGAGCACGGCGACTTCTTCTTTTCTTGATAGGCGCGTACTTTGGTGGCGGCATCATTTTTTGATCCAACTAGCAACAAATTTGAAACAAGTTTTTTTAATTTTTTTTTTTTGCGACCCTTGGACGAGGTTTCAAGAGCAATAATATCATAATTATTTGCAATCATCGTCATTATAAAAATATCCGACGATGGATTAAAAACGAAATTATTATCTTTCTTAAAATAAGACCACGATAATTTCTCTCTACCTACGTTAATGTTAAACGAGATTCGTCGCATAATATTTATGCGTCGAAGAGGGATGGATGTGTGGTGCTTCGTCCAAGGGTTGAATAATTATAGAGGGTGGAGGGGAAGGGTGTGTGTGTGTGTGTGTGTATGTGGGTATCGAGCAATTTTCGAGATCGCTCTTCCTTTCTCCTCTACCTGCACATTATCCGCCGATCCCCAACTCTTGTGTATCTTCTCGTGGTTGCTGCTGGCGCTGCTAGTTGCCACACCCAGGAACTGGCTGAACGCTTCCGTCGTGCGTTTCACGCGTACGTTCAGCGAGCCAATACGCAGGAAACCAAGATCTTTCTCTGCGTGTTCAACCAATCATCGTGTTACCGCTTTGCAATCATCCTCTCGCGCGCACTCCCTTCGATCTTTTTTCTTTTCTTTTTTTTGGTGAACTTGTCGAAAAAAAGGATACTTTTTCTTTTCCTTTTTTTTTTTTGGACATTAGAGATACATCGAAGATAGGTTGAAGTATTGATGAACGTTATTAAATATACAAAAATATCTATATACATCGTGTAACGTTAGATAGTTGTTCAAAAGACAGCCATACGAGGATTTGGAAAAATTTAATTATCCAGTTTATAAGTAATATGAATTGATCGAGGTCGATAGTTTTTATTTTTTCTTGTATCATCTAGTTTCTTAATCTTAATTTTCAAATCATTCGACAAGCTTACCTTCCTCTTTTTCTTCTTTTTTTTTTTTTTTAAATTGCCTTTGTTGCATTTTTTCGGGATTTTTCATGTCGCATGCATCTACCGTGAAGATATCTAGGATCGAATCTAGGGGTAACTAGATAATAGGGAATATATATAATGAATGCCTCTCGCTTATATATCGTTTTCGTGGAAAATTTTTTTGATACTGTAATTTATATAAGAGAATTTTTGGAAAATTAGACAAGATTTTTGTTAATTAGAGAGAGAGAGAGAGAGAGAGAGAGAGAGAGTAGTTAGTTAATAAGAACGTAAAAGTAAAAGTAA